GGAGGGTAAGGAAGGTACCATATTGGAGGGACAAGTGTAACAAGGAAGCCCTTGTGGTGCAGATCACCGCGGTGGTAGGTAGGTAGGTAGGTAGAATTACACGGCACGGTCCCGCTGAGGAACACCGGTTTCCAGGAAGTATCCCGATGTACACGCACTACTACATCATTGTCCCTGGACCTCTCTACATCCTCTTAGCCGAGCTCACGGTCGCAGCCGAATCTTGGATTCATACTCGCCGCGGTAGAACTAAAAGTACACAAAGAAGCAAAAAATGTTAGCACATCAACGCGGGTAAGCCTCTGAGTCAAGCAACCAAAGAGAACACAAAACGACGTAGAATACCTGTGGGATATCAAACACAATCTGCAACTTCATGTGCTAGCAGTTGCAAGAGAATAACACGGAGAGAATGACAATCTCTCAATGTGTTTAATTCTCTGCAGAATCAAGCATGTAGGAAGTAACAAGTGGATATTCATCTTTGTGGTATGACGGCGGCAGTGAAGCGGATAGTGCTTGGTAAACAAGTTAGTGTCACCTTACAGCCATTCCAGAATTGAACGGCAGCCTCGAAATCGCTTGGGTGATATCTTCGCACTGTGACATTTCTGCTCGCACTCGGAAGTTGCGAGAATATGATGGTCATTTTGGCTAAAGAAATACACCAGAAGGCTGTCAAGGTGGCAATTTGACTTGCAGAGGTAGCCCAGTTTATGTGGAAAGGAACATGGAATGACAAAGCAAAAATGAGCGTTTCTGACAAAAGAAGTCAACCCGAACTTTCAACATTTGCTCGCGGCTTGATTTCCTGTCATGCGTCCAATTAGTTGCTGTTTTGCATCCACGTTACGGGTGTGCGTGCTTGGACCGGAGAGCAGTGTAAAATACATTTTGAAGTCGTTTATCTCCAGCCCCGTGGTTTGAATTTCTTTGGTTGAGGAGTGGCCATCGAAATCAACTGTTGCCCTTCGGTGCCTTCAATCAGACTCAGAGATCATTACAGGCACGGAGAAACTGAGCGCCGAAGTATCATAGCTCCATTGTAACTGATAGGGGATATTGCTCTGGAGCCAATTTGTCGCAAAGGAGCAAAGCTGGCGTCGACCGAAAGGGGAAGTGGCAGTGCATCGCTTGACAAATCAAAAACCAGCGAGAAGACGCCCGGAACGGGTCGACGACGGCGACGGCGAACGGCGAGGTTTCAAGGATGAGAGTCATGTACATTGGAAGGACCCTAATCATACAAAGCCTGGTGCAATGGAATGAAGTAAAAGGGCCCAAAATGAGCTGGATGCACGACCACAAAGGCGGATGTCGTTTTTCCTCGTTTTTTGTTTCCTCTCGTCCATCGCAGCATCTGTCTGGATGGGAAGAGCACATATAGACTGCTCTGAGGCTACTGTGGCACTTTTGGCAAACAGAGTAGCTCAGAGGGCTAATGGCAAACTTCGACATCGGAGATGATGGTGGTAGGAGTGGTGGAATTCCTACCTGTGGAATCGAGCGACGAATCGAAACCGAACGTTCACGAGAAGCCGGCGGTTCGACTCAGCCACGGGACCTAGGTCTTGAATCACGATCTTCTTTTTATCTCCTTCTTTTCTGGGGCCCCCGGACATCTTGGAATTCAACGGTGGGTACGGTATGGCTGTAGAATCCGCACACATGTGAAGACATTGTTCTAACTCTTGAAATTCAGTGTATTTGATCATCCTTCACTGTTGCACAGCGCCAGAAATTCTCCTCACGCAAACAAGTAAAGGAACCTACCATACTACTAGCAGTCCCTGTGGATCACGGCAGATCACCTCATTTCATTTCCAGAATTTGCCAGAGCAATAAATGAGGAGCCGGCGGTTCGACTCCGTCCCGGGATGTGCTCGAAGACTTTCCATCTTCCTTTATTTTTCTTTAAGTTTGAGAGCCAAGACTCGGAGACCTCACAAAAATTGCAGGAATCGGAGAGTAGCAAGTAATTCCCTGTTGGTCAAGGCAGATCGCCTCGTTTCAATGCGTTCAATGACGATTGATTATGAGGAGGCGCTGGTTCAGCTCCGCCCCAGGGCCTGAATCTCCGAAAGCCTTATTTTATTGCTGAACCTTTAGGTTTGGCTACCAAGGGGTGGCGAAAACCGTAATTCCGGACCATCACTACCCACTGGTGGGAGTTGATCAAGTATCCGGGGTCCTGGCAACTAAGTTTTTACAGCCGTTTCGACGAAGTTTTGAATTTCTCCTTCATTTCAACTGGTTCAGCTGGTTTTGAGGCATGGAAATTATGTATGTGAGGCCCCCAAATCTGAATCTCGCAAAAATACCCCCAAAGCCGAGGTCTATGGTATCCTTTTGCGAGTCTAGTTTGAGCTCGGCACATGCCGAGCCGCGTCAAATAACGTAAGAATAGCGCGTGATATTGGACGGAGCGAGGTCGACGCGAAGTAGACACATTTTGAGTGGTCTTGCATGGTAAGAGCGCCATGATAGATGTTTCATTCAATTCAAATGCTCACACTGTGTAGTGGACATTTTTCGCTTTCCATCGACGCTACAACTGGCTTAATTACTGTCGTACTGCCTGTGTTCATGACTTTGCTGTGGAAAAAAATCAGAACAATTATGTGTACATAGCTTTCCGTACATTCTACCAACTCTTGAAGGTGTAGGACGCAACTACATGCCTTTATTCCCAGTTTGCTAGTAAACTTCTTTGAATGCTTTCCGCATTTGGGGACGGATCTGCCGGACCGAGTGATTGCCGACTGGTGGCGGTCGTTCAGGTTCCCGGGGTCCTGACAGAGAGGTTTTGGATAGTCGTGGTCCAAAAGTTTTGTACCCGCCTGTTGGATATTAATAATGCAGCTCGGCATTCGGGCATGTGATTAGTAATATTAATAATACAGACAGTTCAAGTAGATACACGTAGAACTTTCTAGCTACATATTCTGTAGTATATAAGCCCACTGTAACATCCTGCTAGAGCATCTGATTGCTCTAAAGCAGCCTTCTCACAAACAGTGCTATTGCAATCATATTCTATCTCTACTTCTAATTCACCCTCCTTGCTCTTATCTCAACACAATCAGATCTCGGTCCGCCGTCACCGATCACCCGACGCTTGGTCGCAGCCATCCACCCGACCATCCCAGTAGCCACAGATGCAGGGAGAGCAGGGAGAGCATACCCCATCCCGACATCACGATGTTGCTGTCCAAACCACGGATTCTTCCTTTATGACTACTCGTTCCCACGTCGTAACCCCTGGAATTTTCCCTGGAGTTCCCACGATGCCACCGTTCATTAAATCGTGGAAGAATGCCAAGTGCAATCGATGCAAGGGCATTGGACATATCGCCCGCGTGTGCCCATCAGTGTCACACCACCGCGAGCACATAGATCCCGCCGAGTCCGTCCATCATGATTCCGGCATCATACACTAGGCGCGCATCTATGCAACCTATTTTCACCAACTATGATTCAGCACGGGGCCGCAGTCAGGATGATCCAGTCTGTCACTGCTAGCCGGGGTCAATCGAGAAGACATGACGAAGAAGAATATTTGATGCAGTGATTTAGCAATGTTGGGGCGGCAGGACATAGGGCATTTGAGCCGGGCACATAATGTCTGCTGTCAAGCATGGGACAATCCTGGGCATAAGAAATTTTGGGAAAGCCTCGCTGAGGGAGAGTGTTGGATATTAATAATGCAGCTCGGCATTCGGGCATGTGATTAGTAATATTAATAATACAGACAGTTCAAGTAGATACACGTAGAACTTTCTAGCTACATATTCTGTAGTATATAAGCCCACTGTAACATCCTGCTAGAGCATCTGATTGCTCTAAAGCAGCCTTCTCACAAACAGTGCTATTGCAATCATATTCTATCTCTACTTCTAATTCACCCTCCTTGCTCTTATCTCAACACCGCCACCCCTTGTTGGCTACCCTGGAGAACATGGATTTCGCCCTTTTTTTAGTCATACATCAACAGTCATCACACAACTTTCACATGTCAATAAATATACTTGATTGAGTGTTAGTTGCATTTGCCCTTTTGTCCCACAACACAACAAGTTCTGTCTTTGCCCACCACAGTCCAAAGTTCTTGTTCATTCTGTGGTCCTGAGTAGGTCTTGACCCAGTCTTTTGTTTCCACCATACGCGGTCCCGCGGTCTCGGAGTATTTCTGTCCCGACATCAACATCAATCTCGGTAATTGCGGTAACCCGGGGATCGGTCGCCACATCAATTTGCCATGTTTACGAGTCCTCCTTTTCCCTCCTTTGCTTTTGTCCTCCATGTCGTCCCTGCCCCTCACTACCTTCTGCGGTTTGGATTCGATCCAGACAACAACGCCTGACAGTACAAGTTCTTTTGTGCCATATACAAAGTGGCGTACTAATCAGTTGTCAGAGCCACCAGTAGCTGAGCAATACCTGTTTGTCGGCGCCGTGTCATATACTGATCGTCAAACTTCAAGTTGGCTCAGAAAGTATTCCAGTTGTCAGGCCGTGAGGCAATGTAGTAGTTAGGGAAACACAGGGACAGTTGACTTTATGATAGGATGACTTTGAACGAGTACATTGAATGTATAGTCGCAGTTTTCGTATTAGCGGCAAAGTAGCACAGGCCAAGTTTCGAGATCACACACAAATATGATGGCATCAATCACATATAACATTGTATTTTGTAACTTATGGGGGCTTCTAATTGGGACCATCGGATATGGCGAGTTCAATCTAAACTGCTCCTTGAATGCTCTCAATAATTTTTATGCGAGCTCTGACAGACAAGTTGATACACTGTGAGAAAGTATCCATCAGGCCGAGATGGCATCGGTCTGTCGGATCAGTTCCACAGTCGTTGCCGTCTAAGCTGGGCCGAAAGGTTCAGCACCCGCCTCGAAGAGGCCCAATCCCAAGTCATTTTATTTTTTATACGATTTTATAGAGTGCAAGAAAAGCCCACCACATTGCAGGAATAGGTGTAGCAAAGAAGTCCCTGTGGATCAGGGCAGACCACCTCATCTTATTGACAACTCTAGGTGATGTCACGAGGAGTCGGCGGTTCGACTCCGCCTGGGGACCTCCTATCTCGGCAAGGATGTTTTTCTTGTAAATTTCTTTGTCTGGTGTCCAGAGTTCGTCCCGAAAGCGTGTCAAAATCCAGTCCTTGAGAAAAACCAATGCGCATGTACCATGTGTACGTACCATACGGTCAATCTACCTGCTGTCCATGTCCATCGAATTAACTGTCCTGTCCCCTCGCATCCATAGTCCATATCCATCTTGTTCATTGTCCGTTCGCAATCTCGTCCTCATCATCGGCTCGACCACTCAAAATCAAAGCAACATCCCCAACCCAACTGCGCCCACCACCGCCGTAAGCGAAACGCTCAACGCGCGCGCGCCGCCGGGGTTGCCACTCGGGCTGGCGCTCGGGCTGGCGCTCGAGCCGGTCTTTGAGGCGGTCGGGGGAGGCGTGGAGATCGCCGGCTTCGATACGATCGGGGAAGACGGCAAAAGTGGAGTCGAGACAGCAGGCTTGGAGGAAACGCTGTTGGTGGCACTTTCGCTGTCGGTGTCATTGTCGGACTCAGAGGTGCTATCGTCGCCGACGGTACTCGTCGGGGCTGCACCGCTGGAAGAGGGGGCGTCGGTTCTATAGAAGAGAGGTTAGCCTGGATGTGACACAAAAAAGGACGGGAAAAATGAAGAGAAAGCGGTGCGCTAGCGCCGCAATACAAGTTTGCCAAGACTAACGGGGACTTGTGCCTTGACTTGGAGCATGCACGATGTCATGCCACACGTCGTGCACGCCACACCTAGCCGTGCTACATTGCATCCCGAATGTCATGGTGAAACTCTACACGTTGAAGCCCGTGGTGGGCAGTGCCCAGTGCCCGCCGCCCAAGTGCCCTCACACAAAGTAGGACAGAAACACGACTCACGTCTCACTCGGATCCTGGTCGTTCTGCGGACATTTATCCGACCCAGACGTTAAAGAGCCGTCCTGCAGACGCAAAGACATGAGCATCCATCATCGAGGTCTGAAAAGAAGGATGCGCACCTCAAAAGCATACGCGCACACCCCAGCGCCGCCGTCGTAGGTGCAGGTCTGGACGTCGCCGGAGGGAGCGGAGTCCGTGAGCTCGGTTCCATCCAGGTCGGCCGACGGGCAGTCGCCGTCCTGTCGGCGCCCGTAACCGAGGGAGGCGGCGTGCGTGCACTGGGACACGGCGAGGAGGACGAAGGGGGCGATTGCAGAAGGACGCATTTCAATCTGTTTTTTGTGGGGGCGGGGTCGTGAGACGGTGTTCGTGAAAGGAGGGAGGAAGGAGGAGAATGGACGGGTCTGGCGGACGTCTGGCTTATATGCAAAAGCCGAACAGGAGCGTGATGGTAATTAAAAGGAGAGCAAAAAGGGTGAGGCTGTGCTTGATAGGCGCCCATGGGGGCGCTTCTCTCACTGCCACTAAAACCCGTATTGCCGCATGGAGACGATGTCAGCCAGCGAGGCACACCCCTTTCCCCGAACGCCCCACACTCTAACTTCCGGAATTGTCGAGCTCCACGCCATTTGCCTGTCTCGTCTCTGTGCATTGCAAGTGGATGTCGACGCTCCGAGCATGTTTGAATAACGAAGACTCTTTCTGGCCCTGAACTGCTACTTCGGGTCCTCGTCGCTCCTCGGATGACGAACACCCTTCGCTAGACCCAACACGTCGTCACTGGTCCGGTATGCTCTCGACACACCACTATTTCGTCGATCAACCTCACGATCCTTGTCCTTGTGTTTCTTCCCTCGGGCTCAGCCTCCAAGTCTCCATATCTGATGCTTCACCGTCTGTACCTGAATCACCGTACCGCGATGGACAACGATTTTTCAAGTTCCTTGAGCCTTACCTTATTCAATTGAGCCGATGCGGGGCTTCCATTATGCACGGAGCTGCACGTCCTTGCCACTACCGAAATCTGGAATCGCAGCGACAGGTATTACTTATCTTATCCTACTAAATTTAAATTTAATCCATCCTCAATCTCGAGCTCACAAGACGGAGATTACGGTGCCTTCTGTGACCCCATATGAATCCGCTAATCGCTCTCAATCCCCCCTGCACCATCCAGTACCCCATATGTTCGCTACGGAAGAAGTCACCACACCAATATCCACCCGCAGCCCAAACTCTCCCTGCACATAGCCGACATTTTGGCTTACGCTCCATCGTTGTCGTGTGTACATATTTAACCCACCTCATATTTCTCATCGACGGTTCTGCGCACAAACTTCCGCCGTGAGCAATTTTCCTTACTCACCCGTCTTGCTCAGCTTCAAAAGGCCCGACTTGGATGATTCCGCTCGCCGTGGACAAACGCTCCACCACACGAGACTGAACACTTTCAAATGGCGTGGGTATAGTTCTTTCTCTGGATAGAATCTCCCCGCACTCATCTCGCCAACTCCTAGGATCCAACTTCGCATACCCCGGCTACATCACTATGCATAATAGCATCTCAATTAAATTTTCAACCACGACGTCCCGCAGTCATATTATTCAAGAAGCGTAAGTGACTCAACTATTGATATATTGAGTCCGCTTAAGTCATCCCGCCACAGTCATGGTCAGACTTCATGGAATAGTCGACAACTTCCGAGTGGGAGGCACATAGGTACTAGAGGAACTGACTGTTTGTTACTACACAGTGGACTTATAACCACTGATCATATCTGCCGCGCGATATCTTCCTCCCCTGAGCGCATCTGCTTACCCACCTCTTCCTGCCCCTCGCACTCCACCTGACTTGACTCACCCTTCTCGAACGACGTCTTCCGCCCCGCGGCGCCACCGTGACTTACCCTAGTCTGCTCATCGGACGGCCTGAAGACCGCATTGCTCTGTTCCACACGCGACCTGGTACGCATAGCCCCCCACGTCTTCGAGTTCTTGCTGTGGTTGCGGAGTGCACGGATGGCGCTGAGGAAGCCCTGGTGGGATTGTGCGTGGTTAGCTGAAGGAGCAAGGGATATTGGAGATGGTGTACCGGATCCGCTGCCGCGAGGAGGGTGTATAGGATGGGGCGCAGGCCAAATGCGCAGAGGTCTGGGTAGGGGATCAGTCGGGGTATACGACAGAGGTGGATAAATAAACGCACCGACGAACGAGAGTCGCCATTGCTGTACGCAGTGAGGTTAAGCTGAGCCGCAGGCGGATGTGAAAAGTGCGCATACCAGTTCGGTGGGAACGGGGTTCTTAGATAGCCATATGTCCAGGATAGAGCCGGTGAAGTTCAAGCAGCACGAGAGGAGGGGGTAGAGACCTAACGCCATAGTCAATACCCGTACGTTATAAAGACTTCATGCAAACCGATTCGAAGAATGGTGCCGCGGTACACCACGATCGGCGGCTTGGGAATCACACGGCTGCGCATCTGTGTATGTCTCAGCCAAACAACACCCATATTGAAAATAAAATACGACTCACCCGAAACATGTACCGCAGGATCACCAAAAAAGACACGACCTCGCCTGTGGACATGAGCAGCATCCAGACGGACTGCGACCCGAGGAGCCAGCGGAACTGCACATTGGGGCGCGGGTCACTGAACCAGCAGGTACCGTTGTAGTACCCGAACTGGCCGGCGGCGTAAGGCGTAATATTTAGAATGGCAACGAACGCCACCGAGCCAAAGTAGTAGAACTTTTGCATCGAGTAGCCGTTGACGTGGTGTACCAACACTAGTCTGTGCGTGATTCAGGATTATTACGTCAGGGGAGAGACAATGTCTATACGAACTGCAGATTGAGTGCGATGCAGAAGAACATGCATGCTGAAAACATGAGCATGCTCTATAAACAGTGTCAACAGCTAATGGATTGGAGAAGCTCCCCGTGTACGCACCAACCCGAAGAACGCCATAAAGCTGCATCCTGCACTGGGGCCGGAGAAGACCGGGATGGAAGTCGCGGCAAAAATGAGGCTAGAAACGGTAAGACATGTGAACAGAAGCACCAGAAATCTTTTACTTTGATATCAACGCGCAGACAAGTAGCCGGAAGCTGACGCGGCTAAAATGATGCCGCGAGACGGGATTCCAGGCGGCGTACCCCATCGCAAGCAGCAACAATGCTGTGAGCACGATACCCGTAATGCCGAATGTAAGGACGACATCCCTAGAAGTGAGGGTAAGATATACGCTTTCGCAACCCATTGGACTCCCGGGGGCTTACTGGAGGTGTGCGTCGAGCGCGTTAGGGACATGCAACTTGGTATTCGACATGGCCGTTAGCAAAGAGATCTGAGAGGCCCACCTCCTAATATATAGCATGAGTGACTTATAGCCTTCACCCCGCAACTACTTAATGAATGCCGCGCGATCATCGGGACGTTTACGGTATTTACGTGACGCCACCGTCGTACTTCCTTCCTTCTCCAAGGCCTAGGCACAGTTAATGCCGCGCGATCGCGGGACGTTTACAGTATTTACGTGGCCCCACCATTCCCAGGTTAGCCTAGGTGAAATAGGACCCCCAAATCTTCACCCGATGCCTGTTCAAAAAATCCTAGAATTCAGTAGTGCCAAAGGCAAAGAGTCGCGTCACAATGAGCCTATCTTTTTAATCGTTACGAGTTAAACTCGCTTTCAACAATTCCATCGTCCATGATCATAGATTTCGCATTACCGTCAGTCATCAGGAGGACCCTGTGGAGACATAGAAATGGAGATACTACTACACATATCGCCACCCAAAGGCTTTTAGCATGCATGGAGAATTTACCCGACTGCACGGAAAATAAGACGGTTTGAGCATTAGGAGGTCATTTGAGATGACTGATTTTCGCAGAGTTAGCTGACCCTGGGCGCCACCGCCAGAACACTGACAGGAGAAACTTCGACTGGTCTAATTAGATTTACCCCCAAAGGCGATCGACGTTGTCACTGGTGCCGACGCTCGGATAATTCTATTGAGAAACCCCGGTTGCATGCAGAAACCCCCCGTCCAAAACACATTCTATGTAAAAGCCCAGGTTTCCGCCAGAAGCGCTCGTCGAGACCAATCAAACGCGGAGTTCGAATAGACTCAAACC